TATTCTTTTTTAAAACATGTACTTTACTATGCTCATGAGAAATTTGAGCGCTAGGATCATTGCTAAATTTAGACTAGTTTTTGACCATCATTACTAAATTTAGACCAATACTTTAATATTATCAACCTTATTAAATTACCTTAAAATAGATCTCACAAAACTTGAATCACTTGATTGGGGAACAAAGATAGTTGTCACTTTGAAAATAATTATTATTTGGAAGAATTCATCTATAGACAAGATTTTAGCAACGATGGTGTAAATCGGATTTAAAGCTATTTTTTTTTTCTATTTAATTGTATATGAAACAAATGGAAATTTGCTAAATGTTCCTAAAAAATATATCGGAAAAAGTAAAAACAAATGAGTTAATAATAATCGCATATAGATAGTAGATAAATAATGTTGATTAATTGCTACATACTTTGATTTACTCACCAATCATCACACCTTTTAATTGCTAATTTTGTGGCGCTTCTGAAGTCGATTCATTATGTCAAATGATTTTTCATTATATAAAAAAGGAATATAATATTTTACTACTGGATTGATCGAGTTTTTTTTTTTTTTTTTTCAAGCAAAATGAATGATAATAATTTTAACTTTTTCATCCCTGACCATCCACAAAATAATCCTTCGATTTCTACCTATTCTAATAACATTAATCTCAATAGTAATAACAATAATAATAATAGTGGTGATAACGCGTCTAATATTAACACTTTTGGTGAGAGTTTTCAAGCAGCCAACTTAAACAATAGTCCTCTTGAATTTTTATCTCCGTCACAATCTCAGTTTTCACTTGAAACACAAACTCAATCTTTACATGGACAACATTTACTTCTTGAAACACAACAAACTCTGATTCTACAACAGCCTCATCCTTCGAATCCTCAATTAAGCCATCATCATCAAAATGGGCTCGTTGTTCCTCAACCATATAATCAAGCACAATTTAACACAAGACTTCTTTATAATTACAACAACAACAACAACAACAACAATGCATTAGGTGGAGACCTTGATTTTGTGATTCTAAACTTGGATGATACCATTAAAAATCTTTCAAGAATTTTGAATGATTATGGTATTTTGACTGGACATCTCAACAATGAAATTCAAAATATAAATGCTCTTAATAGAAATGGACTTATTATTCCAAACAATCAAGCAGAATTTAATCTGAACAATCGTAATAATGCACTAGGTGGGAATTTTGATAATGTGTTACTAAATTTAAATGTTATAAATAAAAGTCTTTCAGAATTTTTGAATGATAATCGTATTTTAGCTGGACATCTTAATTATGGGATTCAAAATATCCCAAGACTTCCTTATAACTATTACAACAACAACAACAATCATATCATTGCACGCCTCGTTGGAGCAGTTCAAAATTTAAACAAGATTAATAAAAATATTTCAGAGATTTTGAATGGTCATCGTGTTTTAAGTAGACATCTTGATAATGGAATTCGAAATATCTCAAAACTTTCTTATAATTATTACAACAACAACAACCATAACAATGGACATATTGACAATGTGGTTCTGAGTTTAAATGATATTAATAATAGCCTTTCGGAGATTTTGAATAATTGTGGTGTTTTGGATAGACATCTCAATGATGAAATTCAAAATATAAATGCTCTTAACAGAAATCTTTCAAAGATTTTTAATAATTTTAATCAATAATATTTATTATATTTATTTATTATTCTTTGTAGAAACATGACGAGAATATGTTTTAGCAGTATTACATATAATCATATAATAGTAAAAATAAATTATAATTCATCAAACCTCACAACGTTATTTAAGGTATATGTTTTTGAATTTGTCTTAATATGCTTTTTATTATTACAAAAAGTAAAGTGACCTTGCTGCTATATATTTACTAAAAATATTGAGATAAATTTGACCATTGGAAGCTTGACGCTAAATTAGTAATATCAGCCAGATAATAACTTTTTTTCTTTGTACAATAATAAAAGAATTTCTATTCGTTACTTAGAATGACAATAAAAAAAAACTTGCCATTCATTTGCCCCACCCAAAAAAATACAATATTCTTAGCAGAATAAAAGGTGATAATAATAATAATAACGGTGGTGAGTTAAGAGATATGTCATTGAATAATAATTAGTAGTATTAACAATGAACCATTCATTACGTAGTAAGTAGTAATAACAATAGCAGTGATAACAGTAGTAGTAATAATAGTGAACCATTAGGTAATGGTAATTATGGTGAACCTTTCGTTCGTGAAAGGGATTTTGAATGGATTAATTGAATCTATTACATCTGATGTTTTGGGTTAAATTCCCGTTTAAGTTCAATTTCAACTATTCAAAAAAGGCCCGCTCAACATGTAAGAATTAATGTTAGTTGGACATGCAAATATTTTGAAAAAATACAACAATAATAAAATTTGTAGAATTTGTAAAACTATTTGTTTGGTAGAGCTAATAAAAAGTAATTTTACCAAATCTTGCCACGCAAGCAAGAATTTACTTAGCAATACCGGCAAGCTCGGTACCATCTGAGAAGTTATCTTCGCCGGGAATTTATTTACAAAAAAAAAGAAACAGACAGACTTAGTAAAATAATATTCTTGATGTTCTTTTTTTAAAGAAAATTCAACCCTTTTTTAAAACTATTATTTTTTAGTAAATTTACATGTATTAAAATATATTCATGGCTAACAATTGGTTGTTATCGCACCACATACAGCTTCTTGTGAGAGAATTGGTCGATTTGTGGATGGTTATTTGGAAGAAAGTTCATAGTTATTATGCCTTAAATTGCAAGGAAGAATTGAAATAGTAGATGAAATATTTCTGAAAATGAAATATAGAAAACTTTTTTGACAGCTCAAGATGATAATGAGGAAGGAAATGAAGATGATATAGAAATGTCTTCACTAGAAGAAGAAAATAATGATGTGAATGTTAATGAGGAACTTCCAGAATCTTATTATTCAAAATACAATGGATTTAACTCATAAGATCCAGATGACAGTTTATCTGAGATGACAAAGACAGATCTGAAAATTTATCTGGAGAAGAAACCATGTTAGCCATAATGATAATGAGGAAGGATATGATCCAAATAAATTGACATCATCATTTATGTAGTTTTATTGTGGCATTGTTTTTGTTAGATTGGATTAAACAATAAAATCCGAGATTAAAATACATGCAAATTTTAATCATATTGGGAGTTCCACCCACAGTTTAGGATTTTGCCCATGGTTTAGGAGTTTCGTTCACGGCTTAGGAGTTTTGCCCACAGTTTAGGCAATTTAGGCCTAAATCGAGATTGCCTAAATTCCTAAACTATGTGATAGTTTCGGTCATCATCATTAAAATAGAGTGAAGAAAAACGGGGAGAATAGCTGAATAAAACAAATAAATAAATTTAAAGAAATATTAGCGTTGGAGTGTTGTGTGAGATTTTTTAGTGGTCAGTGTTAATAAAATTTACTATATACAAAATGATCTATTTTTCATATTCAATGCTCTTTTTATGTAATTTAACCTGGATAATTTGAATGGGTTCTTTTCAACTATACGAGTTTTATTTTTTGAATTGGCAAATGGTGCAAAGTTGTGACACATGCATAAAACTTGTTTATTAAATTTTGTTTTGTTTAATATAATTTAACTTTAATTTTTTTTATGTTCCAAAAAAAAACAAATAATAGATTGTCGATAACCTCAGTTGTACAATTAATATTTCCATATACATTATGATAATGAGTGAACACACTCCATTTATTTATTATTTATGTGTTGGATGGTGTATGTAATATTAGACGTACCTCTGGTGATAATGATTCACATTTAACTTTATATCACTCGTGTGTATATAAAAGTTGCCTACATACCGACACAGCCAAAGCGAACCCACTGGTTTCCAAATTTTTGATGAAAATCTCCTTATAACGAACATATTAACATTAAATTTATAATATAAGGTGTAAAGAGTATGATGGCGATTTTTAAATTTTGACAACCACATCAGAAAAATAAATCTTACGTAAACTCACGTAGGTTTCAAATTGACCAGCATGATGTCAAACTCTTGGTAATTCTAGTAACAATTTCGCATAATTTTAAAATTTATTTTCCTGATGCTAACCATCCATTAAAATTTTCTTTGCAATTTAGTGTATTTATTTATGTCTCCAAAAATGACCGGATTTGAAGATAAACTTTGTTGCATCCATAAATATAAAGCAACTTCAAATTCAGGAATTTTTCTTCTTCTTTTAACACACATTCGGAACTAATGATGTTGATACTTGCGACTGTTTTAACGATATTTTCTATAGTTTAGAATGGATACCATTTGCATATTTCTTTTTTATCCGTGTTTAAATTTATAAAACAACTTGAAGCTTTCACAATGAATAAAGTCATCTACTTATAATGTAAAGATTTATTTCATGTGGGTCTTTTTTGTCATTAATATAAATCGTTTTTTAATAAAAAAATGGCTATGCAATCTTTTTTAAAGCAAAAGGCTAAGTTATTCATTTATAATAGCTTAATATTAAAAGAAGATACCGTTAAGATTTTTGGTGGAATTCCAATCCATCCAATTCCTATTGAATATTCTTGAGAGTAATAAATTTAATAATAAAAATTAATTTCAAGCTTTTTATACAATCTCGACAAATATATATATATCGTTATTCAAAAGCACGTATATTAATAATGCGATCTGCCATCTGCTATTTACGCATATCAGATTCAGCGGATTGAACGAATAATCCAATAAAATATTGTCATAT